CATTTCATGACCTTTAGCCTGAGAAATATTAAGTGGCTTGTTGCTTTGTCCCCACAGGAGTGGCATATAGGGAAAATCAAAAGGAGTGGTGGCAAGAGTGTTGGGAATTTTGCTACATGTCCATACTACTGTTGCAAGAAAGAAAAACTCCAGAAGGTCCTTTAGCCCAAAGAATATTCTTTCCTCTAATAGGACGTGTTAAGGTTTTTTCAGGGGGCTGGCACTGTGGTGTAGTGGGCTGAGCCTCTGCCTGCGGTGCCTACATCCTGTGTGGCTGCTGGTTCACATCCTGTCTGCTCCTCTTCCAGTCCAGCTCTGTGCTGGTACCCTGGAAGGACAGTGGAGGATGGCCCACGTGCTTGGGCTCCTGCACTGCTGTGGGAGACCTGGAGGAAGCTCCTGGCTCCTGGCCTTAGATCGGCACAGCTCCGGCCGTTGTGGTCAATTGGGGAGTAGACCAGCAGATGCGGGACCTTTTTCTCTGTCTCTCCCTCTGTCTGTGACTCTCCACTTAAATAAATAAATAAAATTTAAAAAAATAGATTTTTTTCAGACAGGTGCCTCATCCACTCACAAGCATATTAGAAGATATTGGACATGAAGTGTTTGGAATCACAGAGATGGGAGTCTTTGAAAAAGATTGCTATATAATATTACCTAGAACCCAGTAGTGGAGATAGCAAACTTGTGTGAACAGAAATTTGCAAGAAATTGACTCATTTTCATACATGAAGCATCAAAGTAGAGGAAAAAGTGATGGACATTTTTGGTGTACCATAGTGCTCCATCTGCCTTATCTGTTCTGCTTTTTGTAGTTTCCTTTACCAAGATCAACTATGGTCTGAAAATATTAAATGGAAAATTCCAGAAACAATTCATAAGTTTTAAATAACTTTCATTGTAGTATATTATTATAATTGTTTATTTTCATTAGTTATGTTGTTAGTCTCTTACTATGTCTAATTTGTAAGTTTAACTTAATCATGTTGTGTATATATAGGAAAAAGCAGAGTATATGTAGAGTTTAGGACTACATATCAGGTATCCACTTCCAGTAGGGATCTTGGAATGTATCCCCCACAGATAAGAAGGTATTATTTTACTTGAAATTTTTTTTGTTCTTTTTTTAAAGGTTTATTTATTTATTTGAAAGTCAGAGTTACACAGAGAGAGAAGGAGAGGCAGAGAGAGAGAGGTCTTCTATTGCTGGTTCACTCCCCAAATGGCCACAACAGCCGGAGCTACACCAATCCAAAGCCAGGAGCCAGGAGCTTCTTCTGGGTCTCCCACGCAGGTGCAGGGGCGCAAGGACTTGGGCCATCTTCTACTGCTTTCCCAGGCCATAGCAGAGAGCTGGATCGGAAGTGGAGCAGCCAGAACTTGAACTGGCGCCCATATGGGATGCCAGCACTGCAAGCCAGGGTGTTAACCTGCTACACCACAGCACTGGCCCCACTTGAAAATTTTAATAATGCATTTTATGAGGTTCAGTTTTTTAAAGCAATATCTGTTAAGTCATATATTGCCAATATTAAATGTGTGAAGAATAAAAAGAAAAAAAGTCAAGAATCCTTTGAATCTATATTTTTAATACACACACGCACATACTCTTGCTGTGTAATTTCTACAGGTTATGGTGATTAGTAATTTGCATAAAAATGAATCTGTAGTTCTTTGTATACAAAGATGGAAGTACTTACTTTGAAATTGTTTTTCCAGTTAACACGCGCAGGCAATAGTGGAGGATCTATAAAGAGCCACAGAGTAGAGAGATACACACTGACTGTCTGGGGAATCAAACCCATGCCCTTGGCACCACGTCTTCAGTACTGCTACAGACTGAGCTAAGTTGCTGTAACCTTGCCATTTAGCAGCTCAGGTCTGTTAAGCAAGATTGCTCACAAAAAACAGTCTCCTTCAGGTCCTCAATGAATAAGGTTTGTTCCCAGATCCCTCCTCCCCCCCCCAAAAAAAAAATCTCTGGAAGGAGTGAAAGTGCATTTTAGCTTCTAAAGCATTGAATACGGTTATTTTTTTTTTCTTTTTCTGGCAGTTTCTTAAGCTTGACATCCATAATTTTTCCTTATCAGGTGAGCCAGTTGGTGATCAGTGGCTACTTTTAAGGCTATGACTGGGTTCTACTTCTTTTTATAAAGCCCACGTTATTTCTGTTAGGAGGGCTTGAGGGCTGAAAGGGGGAATGGGGAACTGGATAGCTCTGGGGCCTAGCTAATGTCATCTGATCTCTCTTACCCTGAGGCTTTTTTGAATTTGGCTCCTCTTCACACAGTCTCAAAATACTCATCGGCCCTTCAATGGTCATTGACGGGTGGGCTCTGGAGTCAGACTGCCTGAGTTGGAAGCCAGGCTCCTCCAATTACTGGCTGTGAGGCTTTAGACAAGTTTCTTTATCTCTCTGTGCCTCAACTTCCTTATCAATGCAATGGGGATAATAATTAAAAACCTGGAAAGCGATTTGACAAAATTAAATGAGATAATATATGAAAAGCCCTTAGTCCAGAAGATACATACACTAAGCACTCAATAACATTTACCTATTAAGAAATGCCAAAAAAAATTACAAAGGGCTTAAGGTAACAGAGTTTATTGAAGGAGAAGGTGATGGAATAAATATGGGACCTGTTATGTTGGCAGAGAGACCATTTCTGGGTAAAACACAGCTTAACAAGTTCCCAGATCCTGCAAGGGCTATGGTTATTTTTACAGAATTTGAGGCCCCGAAACAAAGAGAGAAGGGGGAAAAAAACCCACCTCATTGATATGGAGAGAGGGGTAAGAGGAGAAGATGTTCTGAAGTTGGAAAAATGTGCGCTATTTCAAGGTTGTGCTGGGGGCTGATCCTCCTACTTGGGGGCCACCTATTTGCCTTTTGGTCGATTAGCCGGCCTGAACTTCCCCAAGCCAGCCACAAAAATCCCCATAATGCCAGCTTACAAGGCAAAGTTTCCATGCTCTTCCATGCCTCCTTTTTGCTTGAAAATAATAATAGCTGTAAAAAATATATAGAATTTCTGTCAAGTTCTGGTCAAACACCTAGTTTGCCCTCCCCCCACTTCAGGGGCTCCCACCCAGCATGTGACTAATCCCTATGGAGTCATGAAGCCGCTAGCCTCCCACAGAGCCTTGCAACTAGAGAGTCCAATGATCTAGCCTGGATTCTTTTGCCCAGTCTGGACTTGCCCCCTTAGACAGGCTAAAACAGTCTGCCATAGGGGGCCATGGGACACTTCCCCACATCCTCCATTCTGCAAACCGCATTATTAAAAAACAGTATTACCTTATGAACACTTACTCCCATTAGTCAAGATTCTCTTCAGAGCCCCCTGTATATGCTTTATTTCTTAACTCTGTGACTTGATTTCTAAAAACAGAAATCTAGATGTCTACATTAAAGTGTAACTTTCAATTAACTAAGTCATCTGTCCTTCTCTAGTTATGAAATGTCGTTTTTCAGGCTGAATTTAGGAAGATCCAAAAGAATTTTACTGATAATCTAGGAATTTTTAAACTGTGTTCTTTCTCAAGAGGTTAGATTATGTGTGGTGGAATTATCAAGATTTGAATTCTTGGAAAATGTAATTTCTGTGATGGAGTATATCACATCTGAATCAACAAGAGAATTCGATGCAGAACACCCAGGTTTGTGTCGTGGAGGAGATGGTAGCTGGTTTGCTTCGCACCCGTTAACAGAGAATTCTGTTTAGCGAGACCCGGCTCCTCAGACAGGCTGTGGCCATTACAGAGCTCACGGAGTCTCCTCAGAGGTTAAGGAATGTAAAGAGGTCAAACGCGAATGTTGAAACAGACACGAAATAAACAAAACCCATCTATCGAAAGAGAGTAATTGCAAAAGTTTCAAAAGCGGGTCAGAAATGGTGAGCTCACGGTCAGTGGGAAGAATTATTCGGATAAATCCTAGATGAGGTATAAAAGTCTTAATTAACAAAGAAAGGAACAGGAAACAAACCTTCCACTTTGAGTTCGGACACCCCCCCTGGGGTTCCGGTGCGCAGAATGCAGGCTGAGCTCCAGGGAAAGTGAACCGCTTTGGGGCATTTTCTGAAGTGCTGTTTGCAATGCAAGAGCTTAGAGTGCGGTTAAGTTTTACGCACCGACTCTCTTTCCCCATAAACGCTACAAGGGGCGCCTTAATTTTCAAGGCTAAGCATTTCTCAGATTCACTTGAAATGCACGTCGGAACCCCTGTGCTCTGGGTGAGGGGTTGAATGAGCGAATGAATGAAAGCCAGTCGATACGCTGCAGACTGGGGCGGACGAAGAAACTTTGCGCTTTGCGAATGCGGCGTCTGTAAACTTAGGATGGAGCAGCAGAAACTGCAGACATTCTGTGTCTTTCAGCGCTAAGCACCTGTGAACAGGTGCGGCTGCCAGTTAGCGGCTGGGTCTGGCATCAATTAGCCCTGAGTCAAGAGAGATGTGGCCCGCCTCGAAGGGACTTCGCAGCGGCTCTGTCCACTATACCCTACCCTCAGCTACTAGTAGCTTCGAAGGCTGAGCTGTGTGGCGGCCCTGAGACGCGCTGGGAGCCCTCCTTTCCTTACACAGAGACTCGCCTAACTCTGATCCCTAAAGTGGCGGCAAATGGCTCGGTTTCTCTTTACATGATGCGTCTTTACAATCGATGCAACAAGAAAATCGGGATGTGTGTGTGTGTGTGGGGGGAGGGGTAGCACAAAGAGAAAACAGACAAGTAGAAAAGTCTCAAGTGTTTCTCGGGAAGACGAGGCAGCGGGCTGTTTGGACTGTGGCAAAGTTGTGGGGCCCAGACTGGGAGCGGCGCGGAGCGGGACCGGTTTTCCGGGGCTGGCAGCTGCCTGGAAAAAGTTTCCTGTGGAACACTGGCCGGCGGGGGCGGGGGCGGCGGGCGCAGCCGCGGACCCAGGAGGGGGCGGAGGCCACGAGGAGGCAGCTCCTAGACCGTTATAGTCCTTCAGCACCTCCTTGGCCCGCGGGCCCCTCGCCTGCGTCCTCGGCGTGCGGCTGCCCACCTGGCGACGTGACGCTGCACCAATCCCCTTCCAGCGGCCGCCGGCCCCTCGCCTCGCACCGCCCCCCTCCCCACCCTGAAAGAGGCGCACCCTGCCGGGGCAGACGCTGCGCTCTCGCCGCCGAGCACCCCTCGGGCTTCTTCTCCGTCTCTGGGACAGACGCTCCTGCTCTCCTCTCGCCTTAGCCAAACTTGCTTTCCCGCCTCTCAGACTCAGGCTTCCCTGAACCCCTCGCTCCTTTCCCTCCACTTTCCCCTCCTCGATCCAGCTCCACAAACCCCTCTCCCCCACTCCTTTTGCCCGCCCTCTCCCTTTCCCTTTCCCTTCCACAACTCCTCGTCCACCTCCACCTCAGGCTCCCCGAGCGCGCCCAGTTCAGTCGCCCGCTCCCGTTCCTCTCGAAGTCATGGCGGGACCTGGGGGCTGGAGGGACAAGGAGGTCACGGATCTGGGCCACTTGCCGGTAAGTAGAAAACACCCGTGACCCCGTAAGTGCTCTCTTTTCTGCAGGTTCTGAGCCCCGGGGGAGGGAGCAAACGCGCTCAAGCCAGGGTAGACCAGGACTTCGACGGGCCCCTGGGCGCGGGAGCGCAGCTAGGCTGAGGGCATGCTGGAAAGGCGCCCCCTGGCCATGGGTGCTGGGCCAAACTCCACCGAAAAGCAAGGGCGCAGGGTGGTGTCGGGAGAGAAGAGGTGACAGTGGGCAGCTGCGGCTCCTCAGCTGCGGGACGATTTCTACACGTGGTCCACTTTGGCTAGTGGCGCTCGGGGTTCCTGTCCCAGCGGGGTTCCGGGAAAGGCCCCCAAAGCGCGAAGGCGCTTGGCCTCCCAAGAACAGGATTCCCTGCCCCACTGCTTGCTTCCTTTGCCAGGGTGGTGTCTACTCGCGGGGTGACTTTTACGTGACGACAGGCTAGAAAATTAACTTGTTGGAGTGTCACTTCTCTCACTTTCTAAAGCACTTTCTAAAAACCTTCTTATTCTCGCCAGAACAGTGTTCCTGATTTAGAGTGCGGGAGCGGGAGCATAGGAACTCGACGTCTGCTTGGGAAAGAAGTGAATTCTGCACACCCCAATTAAAAAAAAAAAAAAAAGGCAATGTGCTGCCCAGCTATCCAGATTAACTTTTCCCTGTGATTTTCATTTGTGAGTTCTCTTTTTCCCGAATGCCCAGCTTTCCTACAGAATTGTAATTGATTGGTGAGCTATTATCGCCATCGTTATTAGTAGATGTATTATTTTAGCAGCACCGTTTATTTCATTGGCATCTGGTTTCTGGCTGATACTGGATCCCACCCAAATCCGTTTCTCAAGTTCCCTTTTTAGATTGGCATTTCATTCGCACCCCCTCTTGAATGCAAAGGGCCCCTGGACTCTCTGAAAGGGAAATAAGCAGGCACTGTGCTGGAATGATCTCCAGGCAACTATAGTTCAGGACAGTGGCCTCCTTACTTTGGGAAAAGCTAAATATTAACCTTGAGGTTATTTAAAGTCGCATTGCCTTAGCTTTATGTGTATATACATACACACACACACACACACACACACACATGGCATTTAAACATTGTGTTCTTACTGGTGACACAGGCCTGTCCCCCTCAAAACCAGGGCATTCCTAAAACTTCACCTATATAATTTCCCCTAGAATATTGTGTGTAGGGAGGAGTTGCTGATCCACATAGGTAACATTTAGCAGATAATTGTTGACCATTAACACACACACACACACACACACACACACTTGTGCATGCACAAACTTCAATACAAACAGGTTGCATCACATATATTAGCATTGCCATTATTGATGCAACTTTAGAAAATAGAGTCACAGAAATTTAAAAAAAACTCCTTTTCCGGACTGTATGCACCCAGAATTCTTTCCTTTCAGTGTGGCTACATGAGATTTCTGGAATACAAGGCCTCAATTGGTGGTTTCCTTTCTGAACAGAACTTTCATATTCAGACTAGGTTTGCTCCCAAATATAAGAGTAAAATCAATGGATGAACTGTTACCCTCTTCCAGCATTCTCTGTGTATGGTGGGGGAAGAGGAAAAAACTAGGGTAGATATGTGAAACCACACATGGGCAAGCTGAAATAAACTCCTTTCTAAAAATGACTAAAGAGAGAAATGGAAAAGACCTCATAGAAATGATAGGGCAGGGAATTCCAAACCCAGGGAGAAAAAGAAGGAAAGTTTTTATTGCCACAAAAAGTGGGGGGAAATGGCCCAGACTAACTGACCTGGTCATGGCCCCTGGGCATAAGAATTTGGTGAGAGCCAAAGAGATCAACGGAAAGGCTGCAGCCTTCACATTGCGGTTCAGTGGAATAATGGTTTTCTTAAGGTGGGTCAAGGTGGAGAAAAAAGTGATACTGATTTGGAATGTGAGAGATGTAGGGAGAACACAGAAGATCAGGATGCCTGACCCTGTTTTACAGATTTCATGAGAGTCTTGTCAAGTTCTCAGCGTCTAATAATTTCTAGGTTTTTACACAGAAGCTACTTTGCCTCATTGTGGAGATGTTCGCTATCTGAGCAAATACTGCATAATTTTCCTCTCTCTGAACACCTAGGTGTCCAAATGCTAAGAGATCTGACAGAAGAGCTGCGGATTCTTTAGGATTTCCTTTACATCAAATTTTTAGAGGTGTGAAAGTCATTGTGGCTTTGGTCTCTGAGATGTATTTTAGTGACCGGTGATTTCTTTACATTTGACTTATTGTCTGAGTCTTTAAAGAAGTAAAAGTAAATGGAGAGGTGAAGTGATATCTGAGTCCACTGTCTCAAGTTTGTATTTTGATGCAAATAGAGGTGATAAAGCAAGCAAACTTTTATGTGGTGGTATTCCTTGCAGTAATTATCCTCCATAGGACTTACATGAAGGTCAGTACACTGGTATCTGTCAACACCAAGCAAACCAATTTGGCAACAGTTAGGCATTAAACTTTGGAGTTTCAAATTGAACAAAAAGAAGTTTGCAGACTATAGAAAAGTAATTAAATATGAATCTAGTTTAGGATGGATGCATCATGTGTTTTGTAGAGCTGGCCACAAGACAAAAATCCTGGAGAGAGGACAAGCTTGCTGTGCAAATTGGAATTTAAAAGAAAGAGCAGACAGTTTTTGATATTTTTGTTATTAAATAGATATTATTTTTAAGCCTAAAATAATCAGTGGGAGTGAGAGTTAGGAAAGAAGAAATAATTAGAAAATTATATAACTTTTACAGTTAAAATTTTTAACATTTATAGAATTATACAACTGCATAATGCACTTAAGTTAGAGATAAAATAAAGACAGCCAAGATTACTACCAGCAAAAAATAGGTTAATTCCATTATGTTTGTTAATGGGTTGTTGTATTTTTTCCCAATTTTTTGTTGAATAAATATTTTGTGCTAGTAATAAAACAAAGGGAAATCACAGAGATTTGTGGTTTGTCCATCCTTTTGCAAAGCCGTATGTCTTCATAAATAAAATTGCAATATATGATTATATTATATATATATATTTGCCCATTAGCAACACCTGGGAGTGTATATTTTCTAAATGAGTATTAATAAATGTATGTATATTTATATATAGTTATGTATACATTGTGTATATGCATAAATATTTTCTGAGTATGTCTATTGAATATATGTATATGTACACACACACATATGTATCTATATTTTTTCCTAGTATGTCTGTGTCACTCAATCCTTGGGATGGAAACTATTTCTTCATATCTGAATCTGGCATGTCTTTCACTATGATTGTCCCCTTTGCCTCTGTGCCCAGTATGGTAATGACATTCCTAAGGGCTGTGGCCTTGGTATTTGACACTGCCATGTGTAGTCCTAATCTATATTGGGGTCAGGATTAGACAGCCTATGAGGACAGTAGTGGCAGAGGTGATCTGAAATAGCACATGATCCAGAAACTATATTTGAGTTACATTAGGTTTATATTTAAATATAACAGCCAGCTCTCCTAGCCTTCCACCACCCAGATGGAGCCTGCTCTCCACATTTGGTCATAAGAAACTTCCCACTTGATCAAGTACCTTAGCCCCCTGTTTGGAAGCAGTTTTACCTCCCAATCCACAAGGATTGAAATACACAGCATATCCTCCACTGGATATGGATATATCCATATCCATGTAAAGGATCACCTTAGCACAACATTGTACTTCAATCCATTTTCTCAATAATTTTTTCCAATTTCTAGGGCTGTGGTTTTCATGTTAGTGCCCAAGAATCAAGAATTCTCTGGGGGATCTTGGGACCCATCCCAAGAAATTCAGATTTTATAATTCTGTAGCAGGCACAAGGAATCTGTATTGTTAACATGAATTCCCAGAAAAGAGTCTCATGTAGGGAGGAGTCTATGCAGTCCACAGTTGGAAAAGCACTGGCCTGAAGGAAGAAATTTTTCTTTTCTAAACTCTCCACTTGAATTGTGAAACTCATTTTTCTAACTACCTCTGAAATTCACTCTGGCACATACCTTGTCACATCCACCATTTTCAGGTTCATTATCCATAAACTCTTTTCATATATCACTGTTTGTAATATTAAAAATAAAAGAAGAAAAGGCTCTGCTTTTTCGTTCTAGGTACTATGTAATCTTTTCTTTTTGCTGTTTGATTACTGGAATACAGTCTTTCCTTCTCCTTTACTGTACTAAATTTAAAATTTCTTGCTACTCGTTTTCACCATCTTTCTCCTAAATCTCGGCCATATTTGGTTCTATCAGATCAGCCTCTGCTTTGAAAGTCTCTCCCTTGACCAGTAAACACTGCCTTCTAGTGGTTCTTTTACTTCCTATTACCTCTCCACCCTGTCCCTTATTAAAATTAGCCATTAAGGGGTTCATTCTTTCCCCACCTTCTAGAATTCAGAAGATAGAAACAATTCCAAAGTTGGGGTTTCAGACTTTTGCACTACAGTAGATAATTTAGATATGTAGAAGGATAAAAATATAAAGTGTCTGAACAGTTTATGGCTCAAAAATATTTTAAGACTTAGATTCTTATTCTTTTGAGAAAATGTTTACCAATGAGAGTTTCTCCTTCGGTGACCATTTTATTCATCCAAATGGGACATCAAAGCATACAAGACCCCCAAATAATCTACAGGTTGATCTGGCAGTCATGCATACAGGCGTCTTTCCTCTTGTGCATTTTGCATCTCATGGTGGCAGTGCAGAGAAGAGGATCAAGTAATTATGGGAACCTTGGTGATGTGGACCTTTCATTTCATAGGAACCAAAGGGAGGTTATTCCTTTTCAATGCTTCCTTCCTTAAGATCACACAATAAACTGGCTGTCATTATATGTGGAAAATATGAGAAACTGGGTACGGCTAGCCTGGTAATGAGTATTTTTACTTCCCTCTTTTTCCCACTTTGACAGCTGTTTAGTCTTAAGAGATACCAGCATGGATGTGAGAAACAAAAAATACTACATAAAACTGATGAAATCAATGCAATATTATAATACATGAATACCAAGTTGAACTGCCTGTTCGAACAAAGAAAATTTAAAAAATATTTTATTATATGTGTGCATGAGAATAATTAAGATTGTTTATCCATTTATGAACTGGAAAAAGTTCCCTGACAACATGAATCTACTAACTCCCATGAAGTAATTTTATTATCTCAGTACCTTTCCTTTGTGTCTCTTTTGATTAATTAGATACTTGAATTCAAATCTGAGTAAGATATTATGACTGTTGTGCTTAAAGCTTAAAAATAAATCATATATATAATAAAGTAATCCTCTATCATATGGGTTTTTTTTAGCTAAAATGCAGGCCTTAGCTATAACAAAAAATAACTTACTATTAGAAATTAACTAACATGTTTGGTTTTCTTGATAGATGGCAAGAGCCTGTTTCTCCAGAATTAATATCTCAAATAAATCCTTCAGCGATATCCTTCAAAGAAATATGCTAACCTGATAAAGTCGTCAAGTTGGTCCTTAGTAACTCCTTGATGGGCCAACTTTTCTGCATATATCTTTTAATCATAACAAAAGTGATATGCTTAATATCAAGAGTACTTCTACAACCAAGTTTTAGTTTGTAAATCCTAAAACTTATCTTAAATAGCTTTTACATTTTCATTGGGGATATATTCTCTAAATTATTTGCTTTTATTGATAATCTGGTCTATTTTGACATTAACTTGAATGATCACTTGGAAAAGTAGACTGCTTGGCTGCTGCATTGTTTAGCAAAGGTTATATTAATCCAAGGGAAAAAAAATCTGTGTTTCAGAATGATGCAATTAAAATTTTCCTATAGAATTAGAGAGCTGGGAAATCACCTAAGACAACGCCTTCATTTTATATATGTGAAAACTGAATCACAGAGAGAGTAAATAACTTCCCCAGAGTTATATGGTTAATTAATGGCAGAGTTATGGCTAAAGCTAAAATTGTTTTACTATTGTTCAATTGATTACTTGGTGGCCAACACAATCCTGGAGCTATGTCCTTTTCCTGTGATAGTTTTGCTGGATTACACAAATATCACACCGATTTTAAGGAATCTATACTTTAATTCATCTATGTGGCATACACTTAATAGTTTTATTTTCTGATTAGCTTGCATTTATCAAAATGATAAAAGTATTTTCAAACAGGATTAAACAACATTTATGTATATAAATGTGCTTTCTCTAAGGCATATAAATTTCCAAGAATTTGCCAATGCTTTTACCATTTTGTGTATGAATTGGCATCTATTCATACCTCATAAAAGTTTCCCTTTTCTAAAATAGAAAAATATACTGTCAGATTAAAGGTTCAAGCAGTGATAAAATTCAAGAAACCATGTTTGTGGTGAACAAGAAAAGGTTACCCGTATTTAAGGGAATGATAGCTGCTTGAGAATGAAGATAGACTATCTTTAAACATGTATTTTGTTTCCTGTGATGCCATGTTTAGGCTTACGTGACAGAACACATCAGTTTGCACCATGAAAAGGTACTCATTTGATGTAAAGACTAACTTTTTAAAAATGAAACTTTTTTGATGCTGTGATCTTGCTTTGTTATTCATATTTAGAGATGGCGTTTTTTTCTTCAGAGTTGCTATAGTAAATATAAGTAAGTCATCTAGACTTTGTATTCAGTCGTCCTTGCTATATGTTGAACTTCTGCCTTTCTGGTTAGCATTCAAAAAGTGAATATTAAAAGAATACTTTGATTATTTATTTGATGAATAAATGATGTTATCTGTATTCTAATTATTTTTTAATTTCATCCTGATCATGCTTTGTTTTCCTTCATTGAATGCATTTTACAGTTTTATGGTAATTAATTGCACAACTGCTTAATGGCCATACCATTGTTTCTTTTTAATAAGTGACTATACTCAGACCAGGGAGATCCTGACATGTCAGGTCTTTTGGTAAATGACATTTAGGTTCTTCCTCTATAAGACAACAAGGCAGATTAGAATTTCCCCAGGAAGATGGACGGTCTTTTTCTACTTTTTTGCAGGATCCAACTGGAATATTCTCGCTAGATAAAACCATTGGCCTTGGTACTTACGGCAGGATCTATTTGGTAAGTGGAGTTATATTATTTATTCATTCCTCATTTTTTAAAACAACAACAATAATTTTAGGTCACACATTCACATTGCAGCTAAAATAATGCCAGAGCACAGTGTTTCACTTTGAGAGAGTGATCAAATTAAGGTATTTAAACAACATGTAAAATTATTGTTTATTATTGCATAAATAATGGAATAATGAATCTATAGTGAACCAATCAACACATATCTAAAGATTATTAACAGAAAACTAATAAATTGCCAATAGAAAAGGCCATTAATTCAAAAAAGACACAGCCAAATAAAAAGATCACTTGTTTTATATTATATACCCATGTCATTCTTACTACTTGCATTCACCTTTAAACTGAATGCTATAAAAAGGAAAGTTTTCATAGCATTCTGTCTTACACTGTGTACATGAGTATGTACAAGCAGGTGATAAAGTTTGCTGATGACTCCAACAAGAAAAGTCTGTAGCTATTGAATGATTGATTACTTATTAGGCACCAAGTATCTTATGTACTAGACACTGTGATCTTTGAGAATAAAATGATGAACAAAACAGACCAGGTTCTTGCTCTTCTGGGGCTTGTGGCCTAGAAATGTATAAGTGTGTTTGTGGGAGGGGAGCTGTGGGAACCCCCTATATTACCTAAGTAAGCACACAAATAACTTATAGTCACAATTGTAATGTATAATCTGAAAGAAAACATAAGTGATACAAAACATAGAACTGGAGGCTTAATTTAGATTGAATAATCAGAGTGAATCTCCCACTCCCTGGGAAGTGACAGTTGAATTGATACTAAGAAGTTAAATATGCAGTAACTAAGCAAAATTGTGGTGTAGAGAATGACATTAGTGAATTCTAGGTAGAAACAGGGGCAGTGTGAAGGGCTGGCTTGGAGTTGGGGTGCTTGATTAGCCCTATCACCTTGATCAGGTACCCTTTCTGCACTCTCTAATATAGGGAGTTGACATTTTTATTCAGTCTTATACACTATATAAGGTTCTGTAAATACACAGCGTTCCTCTTTCCCAGGCCTGTCCCCAAAAACCCAGTTACTTTCCTTAGGCTGGTCCCTATTGCAGACTCATCACAGATCCTCTACACATAGGTCCTTTAAAAGTGTCCTGGTGTAAGCTTTGAGGAAGGGACTCCTTTTAAATTCAAATAAGGGCTCCATCTGCTTGCTAAGCCTTCTGTCTCTGGGGCTACCGGTGCCTGGAAGGGGCTTCTTTTCTAATTCACAAGTGGAGTGGGGGATGCTTTTTAAACTTGATACAAAAGCATCTTATAGCATAGAACTTGAGTAGTAGAAATACCACGTGAACATATCCTAAAATCAATGAGAACATTAGTGAGTATAGGGAACAACAACAAAAGTTTATTTTTTTTTCTCAAACTATTTTGACCTTACCTATTAACAGAATCAGTAAGCTATAGACCATTCACAAGCAAGTATATTGTTTGTACTGTCTCAATTGTATCATGTACCAAATGATTAGTTAACATTTATGCGATCTAGGTCAGTTTTACCATGTTGTATGCAGATACATATACCTTACACATAGAAGATATTCGTCTTCTTTATGGCACATTTACAATCTTCATGGCTCTGTACACATTTGAATTCCTGAGGGGTTTGTGTGTGTGTGTGTGTTTGTATACTTCTTCTGATTCAAAGGTATAGTGCCTTCTCTACCACATGTTGTAAATAAAAACCTCAGAGTCACATAAGGTAAGATTAGAGAGAAGGTTTCTTGCCATTGTTCATCGGGAGGGGGATGCCATAAGAAGAAAAAAGAATTTACATAGGAAAAAGGTAAGTTGTGCATGAGATTTCCTTTTCTTAAAACTCAGAGTTTATATATATATATATATATGCACACACACATATATATTTTATATATACTATATTCAGTAAAATTAAGTTAAGTCCTAAATGTATACTTTTCTGAGTTTGGACAAATGCATATAGTCATGTAACTACCACCACAATAAAGATAGTCAATACATCTTTTTTTTAAAGATTTATTTTATTTATTTGAAAGACAGAGTTACAGAGAGAGGTAGAGACAGAGAGAGGTCTTCCATCCGATGGTTCACTCCCCACTTGGCTGCAACGGCTGGAGCTGTGGCGATCCGAAGCCAGGAGCCATAGCAGAGAGCTGGATTGGAAGAGGAACAGCAGGGATTAGAACCAGTGCCCATATGGGATGCCGGCGCTTCAGGCCAGGGCTTTAACCCACTGTGCCACAGCTCCAGCCCCTCAATACATCTTAAGTTAATCACAATTTACCTTCAAAGAATATTCTTTCACTTCACAGTATGGTGTCCCAGCTGGAGTACTATAGTTATGGTTGTCATACATATTGCTTTTATATGTGATATAAACATATAAGACTACTACACTGCATGCATGCAATCTACTCAGTTACCCCTATACTCACTATTACCGTTTTTTTTTTTTATTTCCATGGTCAGTTATATTTTAGAACAATTAAAAATAAGAAAAAAGTCCTTCATATTTACCTTTCATGTTAGCCATTGCCAGAAACTATTTCTCTGTGTAGATTCAAGTTTCTGTCTGGTATGATGAACTTAAACCTAAAGAACTTTCTCTAACCTTTCTGCTTCTGAAGCCTCTGCCTTTGTGTGAAAAATTTTATTTCTCTTTCATTATTGAAAGGTAAGTATACTGTGTCTAAAATTCTGAGCTGAAAGTTTATTTTTTCCTTTCAACAATTTAAAGTGTCCTGCTATTGTCTTTTGACTTCCGTGGTTTCTGAAAGTATCCCGTAGTTCTTGCTTTTGCATTTTTTACATTCTTTGTGATTGTCTTTAATTTTTTTCTCTTTGCATATTTTCAACAGTTTAAATATGAAACGTATAGTATTTGTGTATTTTAAAGTTTATTTGAAAGACAGAGACATACACATACACAGAGGCAGGGAGGGAGAGAGAGAGAGGTCGTCCATCCTCTAGTTCACAGTCCCCAAATGCCCTCAATGGTTGGGGCTGATCCACCGAAGCCAGAAGCCTGGAACTCCACCTGGATCAGACATGTAGGTAGAGCCCAAGTGATTTGAGCCCAAGTACTTTGGCCATTTTCTCTTGTTTTTCCAGGCATATTAGTGGTGAACTGGATTGAAACCTGAGTGGCTGGGACTCAAACCAGCACTCTGATATGGCAGGTCAACTTGGCAAACTAATGGCTTAACTGCCTGCACCACAACGCCAGCCCCATGGACTCAATTACTTGAGCCATCACCTTCTATCTCCCAAGATGTACATTAGCAGGAAACTGGATTGGAAGCAGAAGTGGGACTTGACCCTAGGCATTTCAATATGGGATATTGGCATCCTAAGTAGGGACTTACTTTTGTGCTACAACATCCCCCCCCCCCCCCGTGTGTGTGTGTGCACGTGCACACGCCTTTTTGTGTTTCAGTATGGAAAACTTTTTCCACATCTTTACTTTCAATGATTCATTTCTCAGCTGTTTCAAGTCTACTGATAAGATTGTCAAAGGCATTCTTCAACTCAGTTCCTGTTTTTCATTGCTTGTATTTCCATTTGACATTTTTATGGTTCATATCTTTGCTGAAATCCCTCATTTGTTCATGCATATTTTTCATATTTTCACTAAAGCCTTTCACATATTCATCACACTTATGTTGAATTGTCTGATAGTCTCAACATCTAAGTCATCTCCACAGCTAGTTATGTTGATTGCTTTGTCTCTTGAGAGTGGGCTTTTCCTTCTTGCTTTTGAAATGTGTCTCAAAATATTTTTGGAATGCCAGTGTATACAGAACAGTAGAGTAAAGTAAATCATTTATGCCTTGAAATGGGCACACTTGATCAGCAACGTTATAAATGTGGAAGATTGAGTCAGTCTAATAAGGAGACAAGCTATGTGTAGGTTATTGATATGGTTATTCTCAGTTCCTTGCCAGCTTCAGATTCCTCTCTTACCCTGTGCTTACATGGGGCTGGTTTTCGGGAGGTTTTACTTTCTCCATATTCCCTCTCTACCCTTAGCTTCAACCCTATGTATCTCTGCCTCCGAGATGTTCTCTCTCCATGTTTTTGTCCTCCCCTGAAGGCTTACTGCTATTGCTTCCTACTGAGTGCTTATTAGCTTGCTGTGTGGGCATGGAAGAGTTCTCTCTTCCTGATTCAGCCTTTGTCTTACATCCTGTGTCTCCTGGTTATGAGAGTGGCACTTTCTTAAGGCCCACAGCTAGTTCTTGCCCTTCCCCTGGAAGTAGAAGACTTCTTTTCCATCTGTATTTTAACCTTTCTCCAGCTGCAGTAGGTCTTCATCTGTATACTGGAGAGAAGTTTTTTTTTTATTTTTGTAGATTATTCAGCTTTCTCTTCTTGTTAGGTTGGAAGTGGCTTTCATATCTTTATCAGAAGTGAGAAGCCCATGTCAATTCCTTTGAACTGATTCTTCATGAAGTATCTACTATATGCCAGGTCCCCTATTTGCATTCATAATTCCTAATAATTTTATGTGCATTGTTCAGATCCAGAGATAGAGAAACTCTTTACCATCAGATCTTTACAGTACAAATATCTGTGTTAAAGAAGGTATATGCTTTACACCCCAAAGATTTCCCTCTGTTACTCATTGGCTTGACCTTTTTTTTTTACATCAAATTTATTTCTTTCTCTAAAAAGGTATGGGATGGTGATAGTGTGCACTGATACCATCTTCATGGAAAATGATCAGGAATATATAAATATTCTATTCAAATGTTCATTATATCAATAATTCCACTTCTGGAAATCTAAGATAAATGCCCCAGGTATTGAACAAGCATACAGATATCTATTACAGGAGAACAGTATTATATTGTGGTAAAAAGAGGGCCTGCTTTGAATCAGACAGACCTGATACAGTGCATACTTGGCCATTAGTTATGACCTTGAGCAACTTACTTAACCTCTGAGTATCAATTTCTTATTTCTAAGATGGAGTTAGTAAGACCTCAC